ATGCAATCCGTTCGAGGATACAAAAATTCTCCAACAGAGATGTATGTTTTAACACAGGAATATAAATGGATTTGCGATTGATGGAATAATGTTGTTTGCACAAACTTTAAAAATGAGTGTGTTTATAAAAAGTATGTCTACGTCCTTCTTTTTAAATTGCAAAAAATATAGCCTTTTATCATGTATTTGAATTTATGATTTCCTCTTTGTAGAAGATTATTTTTCAACATTCTTTGTATATCACTATTTTCTTGCTTCTTTTAAATTATTTTAATACATTTAATCTAAATATTGAAGTTTTAAGCAATATCTTTTTGATCATTACTATTCTTTTGTTTATTTACTTGTTTGTATAAGATATGTTTTATATGTTACCTCATTTTCTAACATTCATTATTATTTTTAATCTTTGAAGTTCTAATAAATATTTTTTTTTTTCATCCTCAGAGATTTCACTAATCCGTCTTTACCAACTGAGCAAAGAGGTCAATCTTTCCAAGTATGCACTTCTTTTGCCTTCATATTTGTTTCATTTTTTTTTTCAAATATCTTATTATTTATAGGCTAGCTTGTTTTCTCTCTCTCTCTCTCTCATATATATATATATATATATGAATGATTGATAAACACAAATATCATCATCATTCTTCCCTAGTTTTTTAATGCTTCTGGTTTGTTCTTTTATTGTCAAACTTCTTATGATTTATAGACAATTATGTGCGTATACATACTTTGATCATTTGTTACTAGCTTTAGTCCCCTGCTATTTTGTGTTGGCTTTGAGAATTTTTTGTCTTACATCCGCGACCACCTTAATCAACCTTCAGTGTTTCACCTCATGAAAGTTTCTATGGCCATTAGTGCATTATCATAATCAACAATACTGAAATAGGAAAAGCCGAATTTATAAGTGTCATCACATTATCTTTGTTATAGCCGATTTATGTGGGAGGATCAGATTGTGAATGTTGGGTAACAAAATGAAAAAGGGAGTAAATAAGGAAATTATGTTGTGAAGCAGAATTAAAAATTATAATAATAGGTTGGAGAGGTTTTTTAGGAGCTTGAAAGAAAGTTTTTGTACAAGATATCTTAATTATAATTAAAAGATAAAAATACTGATAAATGATGTCCTATTTATAGGAATATTGCTCCGATCTTATTAATAGGATTGGGGTTCTCTTGATCTCTTTATATATATATATATATATATATATATATTGAAATTTTGTTAAATTTCAAACCTGATGCTTAAAACAGCCTGGCTATGCTGATTTCGGGAGCTTATATTCAGTTCATCCACCTGAAGCCAGGCCAGCTATTTAATCCATGGTTTTGTTTGACTATTGTTAGCTTTATTAAACTTGTTAGTAGTTAATCTTTCTCTCATCTTTTTTCCTATGGCATTTGCGAACTTTAAAAGTGGCGAATCTCAATTTTGATTTCTTTGTTGGGTGCTGATGATTGTTGTTTTCCACTTTTATCTCTATATCTTTTGTATTTACAAAATTAGTTTGGAACAAAATAGCTTACAATTTCTTGTTTTATTTGATTATTCATGCTATTAACTCCTATGGTGTTGTTTGGCTTGAGACGTTCTTACGGATCTTGTCAAGCTTGATGAGCCTGAGTTGTAGGAGTGAATTCATGTGTTTGTAAAAGATCATGGTTGATGGCAAGGTGTTGTTAGTAACTTTATCCAACAAAAGTTGCTTGCAATGTTAGGAGTCTTATATGATGCTGAAGTTAGGTAAAGATAAAAGAATATTGGAAGGAGAAGAATTGAGGGTACTATGAGGACAAGGAAGGAGAAAAGAACTCTGTGAAAGTGGTCCCTTTTCCTCTCTTTGTTATATTACTTTAGAATGATTTTATTGAGGCTTGACTATATATCTTCCTATGGATGGTTGGGATTATGTCAGTTTTTGTGGAGGGATTCAAGCATATCACTAGTGATTGAAGCTTTTCCTAATCTAGATGCTTTTAATTTATGAAGACTTTGTTCCTATGATTTGGCCGGGCACTTCAAATACGAAGGTGTCTTGTCACATGTTGGCCTTGTAGCTCAATCCAACATGTATCTTGGTATCACAACTTGTGTGATGATTCAATCTTACAACCAATGAGTAACTTCATGTTGTTGGAGAATTTTTATTGTGCTCAAACGGATTGCATATTTTATGATTGAGTACGACATAAGAAAGATGATATATTACTCCGAAGGATAAAAATATCTTTTCTTTATGGACTCAATAATAAAATTTACAATTTAATAGAGATTCCCCCATTCAATGTTTGGTTGAATGAGGTTTATTTTATTCTGGGGTACAAACGCCCCATAGGGGCAAGGGGTTAATTAGATCTTAAGCTTTAGTACTTGAGAATACTTTTGATTAAATTAGTGGTTTTCTTGCTTTTGAGTCATTTAGACATTGGTTAAAATATGATCTTTAAAATCCATGAAAATCTTATTTAAAGGGTTTTGACTTTTAGGAATTTCATGGAAGATAGGTGATCAACTTGAAATCAGATTTTTTTGAATGAGGGCCAAAGGAAAGAAGTGGAGTACTTGATTCTGAGGGAAACTCAGAGGTACTCAAATTATCATATATTGAGTTTTACATTTTAGGAATCTAATTTTTGTTTAAGTTGATATTTTCATTAGAAGGTTGGAGCTTATATTCCAATAACATATGCTGGAGGATATGCCCGGAAGATGAGAACTTGTATGGTTATTGGAATCAACCATTGTCTCGGATTCTAAAATTAAGGTGAGGTCTACCGAGAGGTAGTACATCGAACCTAAGTTTAACGGAGTATAAAGGGACTTACAAACTACACCTCACATGAGGCATAGCCAGCCCGACCTCTAGATTTATTATCATGTCCGCAAAGAGCTACCAACTAAACCTCACATAATCGATTTTAAAATCATGTTTTTCAGTCTCAATGCACATAAAGAGTATGAAGGCTATTTTTCTTTAGAAAGTAGGTCTTACAGCTTGGCTTTGAGTCAAAAATGCTTAATCATGAGTGGTATGCAGAATGCTGACCCACAAATATAATTTTTTGATTATATGATCCTAAGTGAAGGCTGTTCTACATATGACACATTTGGGCTATGCATGATAATTTTAAGTTTGGAAAACTTGGCTCATTGAAAGAGAGCCATGCAATTTTTTTGTTATAAAAGTGTGAAGCCTAAATTGATTTTAGATTGTTTACATTTTAATGGGTAGAAAGCTTATTTTTATCCTAGGAGCCTACCGCATCGAAAGTCTAGGCTACCCCCAAGCAAAACAAGAAAAAAATCTAAGAAAAATATTTATTTCTATTGTGCAATCAGGTAAACAAACAAAATGTGCTTAAAAGTGTAAATTAGCTAAGACAGAAATTTAAATAATATCCCGATTATTACAATCAAATTTGGCAGCTAGGTTGCTTTCCAATATATACCTTAGTTCAAATTTATTATAGACTTTACTTGTTTCAAGCTTTTGACTCCTAAATGAACATCAGGCTTCACCTTCAGCAGGTACATCCTTCTAGTCCACTTCCTTCTTTTAATCTAAACCCCACAAGTTTAATTACATCATAATTCTATCAAATACATATTTGAAAAGAAAAAGACTCAAGCCTGCAAGACAATGGATTAGAAGCAGTTTATATAATAAAATATCACGTACAAAATTTTGTTTAGCACTTACAATGTCAAACACCTGTTTCTACCCTATTGGTCATATCTCTTGGGGAGTTTTAAGCAGCACCTATCATGCAAACAATTTATTATTTATGATTTATAATGCCCCATTTTAGATATGACCACTTGTAAAAAGAACATATATATTTCTACACTATCCACTTAAGGAAAAGTACCCACAACGCAGATAATCCAAGGACAATCACATCAAATCATCAACCACATGCGCACAAAAAAAAATCCTAGTCATAGCATGCCTAAGGGTTGTGCAGCTAAGTGTGTGGGTTTGTGTGATATGTTATACTAAGGGTATTTTACTTAGAGTTTGGATCTAAGGAAAAAGTTTTCAACATATAGCTTTGGGTTAAATATTGGAGAACTCCCTTTAGCTTTTGGGATTAAAGAGAGGGGAAATCTCTTGTGACTTAGAAGTTGGAGGAGAGTTGGAGGAACATGCAACTTATGTGTTGCAAATTCATGAATGTCTCTGAACATTTTGATCTTCAAAGAGAGGGTTGTACCCTTCCAACTTGGGTTGGAAGGATGAAATGGAGATAGGACTTTGAACCTTATGCTTGATTAAACTGTTTGTTAATTTTGATTCAATAAATAGATTGGTTTGAAACAAGATTGGTTCACTCAACATGGGTTCAATGAATGAGAGTTTCATCCAAATTTTGAGTTGGAGAAAGAAGGAAATTTCTCTACGATTTTGGTTTGTAGAGAAGAAAGGAAGAAATGCAACTTGGAGGTTGCAAAGTGGAAGAATTTCTTTGAACATTTGGTGTTCAAAGAAGGGGGTATTCATCTATCTAATTTGGGTTAGTGGAATGAGAAGAATTTTTATAATCTTTTGAGTTATAAAAAGAGAAAAGAAGATGCAACTTTGGGTTGTAACTTTTGAATGCTCTTTGAATATTTGATGTTCAAAGAGAAGGTATACACTCTCCTAATTTGAATTTAGGAGAGTGGAAGATTTGAATGTTCTCCAATAATTTTTATTTACAGGAGATGATGAAGGAAATGCAACTTAGAGGTTGCATCTCATGGAAATCCCCTGAACGTTTGGTGCTCAAAGAGAGGAGGTTCATTCTACCAATTTGGGTTGGAGGAAGTTGCAAATTCTTAAATTTTTATTTAAACAAGTGGTGTTCAAAGAGAGAATGTACACTCTCCTAATTTGAGTTAGGAGAATGAGGGAGAATTTGGAGATTTCCCACAATATTAGCTTGTTGGAAAAGGGAAGAGAAAATGCAAGTTGTTCATTGCAAGTTCATGAATATCTTTTAAACATTTCTTGTTCAAAGATTGACGTACACTCTCCTAACTTTGGCTTAAGAAGATGAGATGATTCCTACAACCTTCGAGTTGTGAAAAAGATAAAAGATAAAGAAATACACAATTTATGGGTTGCATATGAGAGTATAAATCATTGAACCATGCGTTTAATGATACATGATCATTTACCAAATTTGTGTTAGGTAAATGGGGAGAAGAGATGTGAAACTTGGATGTTGCAAGCTCATAAACATTCTTTGAACATTTGGTGTTCAAAGAGGGATGTACATTCTTCTAATTTTGAGTCTTAGGAGAATGAGATGGTTTCCTAAAACTTTTGAGTTGTAGAAGGGAGAAACAACAAGCAACTTATGGGTTGCAAGTTGAGGGAAATCCCTTGGATATTTGATGTTCAAGGGGAAGTGATCATTCACTTAGTTGGGGTTGAGTGAATGGAGAGAGGGGACTAGGATTTGAATCCTAAATCTAAGAGATTATTCATTGATTTTGTGTTCCAATAA